TCATTGTCATTGTCATTGTCGTTGTCATTGTCATTGTCATTGTCATTGTCATTGTTATTGTTATTGTCATTGTCATCATTTTGAATATTCATTTTACTATTATTAAAAGTTACTAGAAGTTTTCGTAGTTTCACTGCTCCATTGTAAGAGTATAAAAACCTTCGACTATTTGAAAGTTTCTCCTCTCTCTCACTCTCTCTCTCTCTCTCAATTCCTCGATTGCTTTCGCTCTCTCACACAAGCTGTTTGAAAATTCGCAAAATTGGCTGTTGACAGCCCCCCATTGGAGTGTGTCGAAAGACTTCGACATCTGGGAGATTGAAAACTTTGCAATTTTTTTCGTTCTATTTTCGATTTGCTGTTTTGATTAAAAACTTTTTGCTTTCCTTTGAAAACTGAGCGGCGCAACGTTAACTACGGCCATGAACACGCCATAACTGGCATATAAACGTTTACTAATTTTTAACCAACACTTAAAAAACTCTATAACAATTTGCCCATAAATCAACAATGCAACAAATTTTATGGGCCACGTTTAAAACTCCGGCGCCAACGCCAAAGCCAATTTATGCCAAGTGCTTAAAATTGTTAATAATCGAATTTTCTACAGCATTAACTTTAATGATTTGACATTGAGGCGAATGAGATTATCAAATTTATTGCGTTAAAATAAATGCAACAGCACATAATAGAGAGTAAGGATAAAGGAATTTATATTATTTCAAAATTCTTGTCGTTGTTTTTGGGGCCACAAAATCTATCAAAATTTCGCAAATTAACAAAATTGTTTCTGGCCCAGCTAGCACATTTGGCTATCAGATGAAAAATTAGGCAAATGCTGCCAGACATAAATTAGAGCTGGCTGAAGGCAAGGATTCCCAGAGGCTAGACATGCATGAGTATTAATATACGTATGTATATATGCATATGTATATGTGTGTTTGCTGTGTGTGCCTGCAGACAATTTATATCAATTTTGATTGAGTTTAATGCACTCTAATGTCGCAATAGAAACATTCGATAATTCAATAACAATCTCATCATGGCATTCCCTAATAACTAATACAATGAAGGCTTACATTCAACATTGATATATGATTTCAATTTTTGATATATTTTTTATATTCTTTATTCTGCTTTCATTCTCTTTCCATAAGTCTGGGCTTTGAGAAGAGACTTTGAGTTAAGGTTTCAACTAATAAGAGAGACTACTGATATGAAGCATGGAGTACGTAATACGATATAGATTATCTCATATATAGTACTAAGGTATGATTTAGCTCATTGAGTATTGAGAGAAATTCCATATCGATGTAAGGAGCAGATTTATGGCTTAGGAATTTATTTCAAAACTTTGCACAGTTGAACAATTAAAAATTAAATACATGATGCTAATATCTTCTTCAGACAACTTTACTCTGGCCACTCGCACAATGTCTCAGACAGACAGCAAACAAGAGGCTTTTAACTTTTGTAATCCTCTTTATATTTGATATTTTATTTATCACACTTAGCTAAACTATAAGTAGAACTCAAACTTGAGCCGAAGCAGCAGCTAAAACTTGACGCTTAGGAATGTTAAGCAAACAGCATCCTGGCACTCCAATTGCCTGAATAGCAGCTGCAGCTGCCTCTGCTGCCTTGGCAAGGCTTTCAATCAATGTGGCCAACAAATAAGTATAAGCATATATTATTCTTGCATATGTCTGCCAAATCGTAGCACTCGAATTTCAATTGCCAATGTGCTTGGCTCGCATCAATCAAAGTTCAAATGCCAAAAGTGCATACAATAAATTGTAAATAACTTGCAATAACTGTAATCAACACACACACACTCAAAGTGGGGGAGGACAAAGCCTGGCATTAAGCAAACAGAACGCAAAACAATCATTCAAATGGTGCACACATTGCGCATACGCTCCGTGAACAAATACACACACACACACACACACACACGCGGGCGCGCGGAGATATAGTCAAAGCTCTCTCAAGTGTATGCTGAAGGTGGCATTAAGCTGTCGCTGTCATGTACTCCGTGCTGCTGCCAGAAATTATTGTGCATTTGTGGAAATCTATGCCACGTGGGCGTGTCCCAACGCCCAGCTGCACATTTGCGGTAATTGATTGGAAAACATCGCGACGAACGACTCAGCCAACCAACCAACCAAACCCAACCACCAACTGCCGACAGCCAACTGCGAAGTGCGCCGAGTGATGAGTGCAGTGGGCGGAGGGCAGGGGGCAAAGTGCCGATGGCCACCCACTGGCTGTGGCAATTGTTTAAAAGCTTTGTTTTTTAATATGCTAAGCCCGTGGTGGGTGTCTGCAATCGGGTAGATTAGCTATGCGCGAGCGTAACTGAGTAACAGAAAGGCTTAAGCTAAAGGTTTATTCTTATATTCATTTTCGTTTGTATATCATCTAAGACTTTGTTATTCTCGACTTTGTCATTCTAGATCTTGATATTCGAGTCTCTGTGCTTCTAGTCCCTTCTCCTTTATGGCTTGCTCTTCTATCTCCTGAATTTCTACCCCCTGTACTTCCAGGCATTGCATTTCTTGGACGACTCCTTTTATACCGTGTCCATTTAGATCTTGATCGCCTAGGCCCGGTCTTTCTATGCCTTGAAATTTGAACTGCTTTTCTTCTAGGTCTTCTTAGGCCAGCCCCTGATATTCTAGGTCATGTGATTCTAAGCTCCAGCCATCAGGGCCCAGTTCTTCTAGACCCTGAATTTCTAGACCATATCCGTCTTGGTCCTGATCTTCTAGATCCTGATATTCTAGGCCCGGTCTTTGCATACCCTTAAATTTTAACTGATTTTCTTCTAAGTCTTCTAAGGTCAGCCCTTTATATCCTGACCTTCTAAGACCTGATATTCTAAGCCATGTGATTCTAAGCTCCAGCCATGAAGTCCCAACGCTTCTATACCCTGAATTTTTAGACCATATCCGTCTAGTCCCTGTGCTGCTAGGACGTTGGCCTCTAAATTTTTCTGGCTTATCTATTTCTTATTTGTCTCTGTCTCCTCCTGTCAATCATCTTTTAATGAATACCTTCTTCTCATATGATTTTCTATATGTTCTCTTATGTTTGTAATTGTTTATAATCTCTTCTTTCTACGCGTTTGCCTTAATCGGTCTGCTCGCGGTCTTTTCTATTTATTCCCTCGTGTGATCCTCATTGCCTTTTTCTTCTAACTTTGTGGCCCGCTATTTCAGTTCCAATCTCTCATATTTAATGCAGTTATCCCTCATTTATAATTCACATCTACAGAGTATTTTATTGAATTGCAAACGTATTTCACCATCTCTATAAAGGCTTTGCGACTTATATACATTCAGAAGCCCGACAACTTGAACAACTTTACATAACAATGCAAAGGCAAGTTGCGCAAGAAAAGGAAATTAGAGAGCTAAGCACGATGTAGAAACGCAGACGTAATAGTTGAAGCTGGATGCACATGGGTGTGAAGATGTAGAAGCCCTAGGAATCTTAAAGCTCAGTATATAAGCACAGAAAAGCAATATGAAACAAGTAACGATTCAGCTCCTCAGCATAGACGGGATATCTGCACGTCAATCACGCCCCGTAGCTGTGCTCTCGTTTACATATATTTTTGTTTTGCAAAATATTTTATCCGCAATATGCTACACTGTTTGTGTGGCAAAAGTTTTGCGGCAGGAAAAATGCGCGTATCTCGTGTTTAGCACTTCATATTTATTACCTGTCGAGTGCACTCAAATCAGTTGCACTCGCTGCCAGCCTGTTTACGAGAAAGGCAAGCAACAGAAAGAGAGCGAAAGAGAGAGAGAGAGAGAGAGAGAGGGGGTGAGAGTGAGAGTGAGAGAGAGGCGAGCGCCTCTTGCTGGTCAGTCGGCAAAAGTTTTTACCCCTCACAGCGTTTTGATAAGCATAATTGATGATGCAACCGTGCACAGCATTGGCAAAAAGGCAAAACAATAACAATAACAAGCGCCAGCTACAGCTGCACGCCATAAAATAAAGCCAAAAGCCATTTACGTGGTTGCACCCGTCCTCCCATCGTCCCGCCGCTTGACCCCTGATCGTGGCCCCAGAAGAAATATTTTTGCACATATTTTATAGCACATTTGTGTATTGAGCGCAAGTGCTGAAAAAAAGTTATCATCAATGGCTTGTGGGTAACTGAAAGGCGAGTGCATCATCACGTTCCTGTAATTCACTCAAACACACACACACACACACACACATGCACACTCTCGGACAGCACGAGTAGCACTTGAAGGTCGACCAGAAGAGCAAAATAAAAGTGCAAAATTGTTGTTACTGAAAAAACACACACACACACAAGTTTAATTTTTATTTTCGCTGGGATAATTAAAAAGTTAGCCACATATGCAACTGCTCTCGCCTGTATTGCTGCTGCTATTGCCAAAAGTAAAAGTGGAAAGTATTCTTTAATACGATGAAGCGCAACCCTGAGCGACCATGAATATATAAATTGAGTAGAGCATAAGTATTTATTATGGGTTTTGGCTTGAACAGAACGCTGGATTTTAATTAAGAGATGAGAGATAAACAAAGTTGGCTTTGCGTGTGCTGCAACTGGTCAAGCAGAGCGTGAGGCGAGTGAGAAAGACAGGGTGTGAGAGGGAGAGAGTGAGAAATAGAGAAAGAGGGAGAGAGAGTTATAAGGATATCCAGAGAGAAATCACTAGAGGTGTGAGAGGTAGAAAGAGAGAAAAGAAGGAGAAGACAGAGAGTGAGATAGAACGCGAAGAGCGAGGAGAGAAGGTTATGATCAGAGGATGAGAAGATGAGGAGAAAAATTAAAAAGAAAGAGAGAGAAGGAGACATAAGCCAGCTAGAGATAATGAAAGGGAGAGGAGACGAATACAGGCGATATAATGAGTTGAAGAGAGAGAGCTAGATACAATTGAGAAAGAGAATGAGAGAACGGAAATATCAGATATCCAGATAGTCAGATAATGGAGAACAAAGCAAGAGCAAGTAGGAAAGAGGTAGAGATATTATGATATTGACAAGGAGAAATAGTGAAACAGAGTAAGTGAGAGAAATAGGGAAGGCATATATGAAGAGGAAGATAGTGTGAAAGAGAGAGAGAGAGAGAGAAGATAAGGCATATATGAAGAAGTATCTACAAGAGAAAGAGAGATCAAGAGAGATGGGAAGCTACGCAGCCAAAGAAAGCGAGAGAGCTAAATAAGGAAAAAAAATCATATATAATGATATATATAATAATGATATAAGATAATGACTGATACATAGAGAACAAAAGAGAGTTAAACAGAGACAGCCAGAGCTGATGAGCAGCATTCCTTTAGGCTACATTTTGTTAAACCTTTTAATATTCGCAATATAACAAAAGAAGCTTATCTCGACATGATTACCTTAATGCAACATGGACCTCCCGGAGTGGAGTGGAGTGTCTTCGGCAGCTTGCCTCATTTTCAATGGGCCGAGTGAATGGCCCACTTACTTCCTAGCCAAATGCTTAGCCGGAATACTGCCAGCAATCTATGTGCATATATATTGCAAAACATATTTACCGAAATGGATTGCTATGTAATTGACATGATTTACCTGAACTCTGATAATCATCTACTGATGGCCATTAAAGCTTAATGAACTCATTATTGGGCCGAGCCAAACTAAGGCCCCATACTGTGTTGCCAAACTTGACCTTATAGCCTAATATTTAATTAATATATACATATATTTACTGAACTGCATAAATATTGCTGCAAGACTGCCAAATACAAAACAATTAAACCGAAAGCAATTGCTGCCCAATGCATTGGCCATGGCAATGCAAATAGCCTGGCATACATCAAGGCGCTCCCCAAAGATGGTAATGCGATCCATTTGAGTTGAGCAGCGGATGCATTTATGCAAATACATGCACGAATATACATATATATAGAATATATGGATGTGTATATTTGTGTACAACAGTTACCTAATATTCAATTCTCATTAGAGCAAAGCACACAGCAGAGGCAGCTGCAGCTGCAGCCTTGAACATGCCTGTGACATGTGTGTGTGTGTGTGTGTGCGCAGGTTAAATCGAAATCATTAATTTTAATGAACAGGATATTGTAGGTGCATCACATTCGGGAATATGCAACGGAAAACCAACATGCACACACACACACACACACACGCACACATGCAGACATCTAGCTGACATGCTGCCAACTAATGAGCGTCTCTTGGGTGAACGCTGCTTGCATATCGCTGTGCCACACATAATTGACGCGCTCAACATCAATGTCACTGCGAGCGTGTGTGCATGTGTGCGTGTGTGCATGTGTGTGTGGATGAGCCCAGGCAGCCACGACATTTGACATTTGTAATGACCTTGCCAAAGCCAAGTCAAGTCAAGCTTAGCCTGGCTAAATGCAAATGGCCAATAAAGGGTTTTCGGCCTACGACAAAGGGCGCTTACACTCGGCTTACATGCAGTCTGGCATGCCTGACTGGCTGGCTGGCTGGCTGCCTGACTGGCTGGCTTGGCCAATTTGCAGTCATTGAACCAAGCACTGGCTGAATGCTGCCTCCAGCTCTTGAGTGCTCATTATGAAAAACAAACACTGCCTTTTCTTATTTTCACTTATTTTTCAGTTTTCCCCCACTCTGCTTTTCCGGTTCTGTTGCACGTGTTTGTTATGCAAACAAGCTGAGAGCTGCACGACGACGACGACAGAGCAAGGAAGCCTTCGACATGCGGCACTTATAATTTGTTACAGTACGTGCAAATAAACAACAATAACAACGATTTTTACAAGTGTGCGAGTGTGTGTGTGTGTATGTGTGTGTGTGTACAAGTGGCTGGCTGAGCTGATGGACACAGTCCAAAGTAGCCAACGGCGCTTGCATGCAACTTTTATCAAATGCTTTGTGACATGCAAGGGGCTCAGTTTCTCTGCCACTGCCTCTCTCTCTCTCGCTCTCTCTCTCTCTCTCTTTCACACATGAAATCAAATATGCAAAAGAGTATGCACACACACACACAGATATACACACATGCATTGGCGTTTCGAATTTCCGCTTCCGGCTATTTTAATATTATAAGCAAAGGCATTTTATGCTGAGCGCAGCAGCAGCTGACGGGCAAAAAGTTGAAGTCGGAGTCGAAATTGGAGTCTGTCATTTGCCAAGATATCGCAAGCATGTATGTACACATACATATTTATGCATATATGTATATATATATATATATATATATATATATATATATATATGTGTACATACACATCCGAGGTAAGGTAAGGTAGGTAAGAAATATGCTTGTGCAAGCAAAAAACATAAGAAAATCATTGAAGCCTTATTAAGCATATGTATATAAAAATCAAGTGAGAAGACACAGCAGAAAGCGGGCATATCGACTTGAAGATATTCTGTAGACGAATGCCCTTATCTTGTTGACAAGCTTGCAGTTCATTTGAGAAAGTAATTAAACTGCATTGCTAAACTGATTAAGTGAACTGTAAGCATAAACATTTACTGAGTTAGTTCAGCGAATGTGAATGTGAAGTAGTTCCTTTTATGAACAATTAGTTCTTTTAATTATTCAGCTGCTCATAAGCGATAAGATCTCATAAATTATTCAACTGCTGATGAAGGACTTCTCCTCCTTAAGAGCTATTAGAATGAAACTGAATAAACTCGTTTTTGATCGAACCGTTCGTTGAATCGATCATACTATTCATAAAAGCAATAGCTCAAACGAACTAATCAGTTACGAATAGCATCATAAAGTTGTTCATAGACAACTAGTTCCTTTGAGCTATTAAAGTGCTATGAATTGAATCGTTGCTTTAGGTTTTTTTCTGATTATTGAGAGTTATTGAGCTGCCTTTGATTCTCCAGATTCTCCACAGGTAAGCTATAAGTTCCTTTGAGTTTTTCTTGAATCGTTCCTTTGAGCTGCCAAAGTGCTTCCGAATAGTTTCATTCTTTATGGCTGATTGATTTATTTATTTTGGTATTCAGCAGTCTATGAACGACTCGTTCTATTGAACAATTTCGATGCTTAAGAAGCATTTATTCGATTCAACTATTCAATAATCGAACCCTAGCATACCCCACTCAGCAACTCTCCACCAGGGTATGCCACACAAAATTCGCTTTGTCCTTCGTTTATGTTATGATTTCTTCTTTTCTTTTCTTTAGCTTCATTTTTGCGCACTTTTTTCGTTTTCGCATTTAAATTAATAGGCCGCTGGGCATTTGTGTTTCATTTGCGCATAAAATACGCTGCACTTGAGTGGCAATATGCCACGCCCTCGAACGATGTCACTGCCACGCCCCGCGCGCTTGCTGGCCCACCTACCCCAATCCCGACCTTAATTACAAATGTGAACTTTGCTTTTATGCTTGACGGAAAAATCCACTTTGCCGTGATATCCGGACTTTGAGAGCGACGTAAAATTAAACAGCAGCACTTAAAACTTAAAAAAAAGTAAGAGCAAATAAGAGTATTTTATGATGACTGACTGCCAAATACCCGTCTATGGCATGAAAATAGCTCAAAATTGATTGTTTTGTGAATATATTGGGACATATCTTGATGGCTTATGGATAGAGCTGAGAAGCTCAGCAAGGACCTAACAGCATTGCCAAGCTCTAAGATTATGAGCTGAAGTCACTTTGAGGATATATAGTGAAATGACTTTACAAAAGGTATATGCATCATTTTTATTGCAGGATTATATACGGACCAATTGTAGCTGGAGCTCTAGACTTTTAATTTCAGTATTTATTCTCCTTTGCTCCATTCTATCTTGCTTCTCTTCTAAGTTCCTTCCGTACCTCCATCTTTCCACCTATTCAATATCCTTCCATCCTTTCATTCCATTTTATATACTTATTACCTTCCTTAGTTCCTACCTCTCTTCCATCCTGGATCATAGCTTACGGTCGCCCACATGAGTAAATCTTATAAATCTACTTAAATATTCTCGATTTTCCATTCCCAATTCCTTCCTACCTCCATCATACCTTTTCTTCTATCTCCCGCCTTCAAGTGGGCGTATTTTAAAACTCTTAAACCTCAATCAGACAATGATTCACTCGAGTACATTGACTTCAATATCCAAATCTCCAACTTAAATAATCATTCAAGTTCATATAGAACAGAAGCCAGTATACTCTCTTTATGAATGTCTTGAGCGCGCATAAAAACTTCGCGAAAAGTAGTTGAAAATTCATTGCAGCGGCTTTCGCAGCGCCGCGCTGTTGCAGTCAAAGATTTATGGGCGCAGGCGACGCGACGTCCAGCCGTGCGGCTTGGTGTGCCACGGCATGGCCAGGCAAGGCAGCCGCACTCGTATGTGGCACGTAGTTGAGGTGTTAAATTTGCCATTTGCATAATTGATAAAGTTAGGACGCAGGGAGGTGAGGCAGCAGCAGCAGCAGGAGCAGGTGCAAGAGCAGGAGCCGGTGCAGGAGAGGGCAGGTGTCTTAAACTGTCCAAATGGTTAGTTGGCAAACGATGCCGCTAGATGGCGCCACAGTGCTTAGCATGCTGATTTCTGACCCATGTCGGATGTCCGCATGTCATTTCCATTGCCTGCCAAGAGGACGAACCGAACGAAGGCACGAACAGACGGACGGACGGACGAACCAAAGGCTCTTGATAGTTTTACTTTTTTGCATTTTGCCGCATAATTCAGATTTGAGCCATTATGGGCCACGAACTTCCGCCCTTACCTGTATCTGTAACTGTATTTTGTGGCGGTATTGGTGTCCTTTCTGTGTGTGTGTGTGTGTTTGTGTGTCTGTTGGCATGCGGCGAGTGCATAAATTCTTGGCCGTAGTTACTCACGTAGCGACTGCAGCAATTGCTGAGTCAACCAAACTGGCCCTGGACATTGAGCTGCTTTCTTTAAACTTTTGATTTAGTGCCGAGTCGCAGTTTAAGTTGCACTTAAAAAACTACGCCCCAATGGCAAAAGGTCTTGACTTTTATGCCCCACTCTGAATGAGAATTTCTCTGTTCTGCTCTTTCTCTTTCTCTTTCCTTTATTATTTGCTGCATTGTTCAGCCGGCAAGCGACCCAAGTGAGCGAGTGCTCAACTATTTACAAAGGAAATCAAATTCCACTTTTTATATATGTCATAAAAATCGGGTCACACAGCTGAATACCTAACATACGACCAGCATAAACAGATAAAGGGAGCGAGATGGAGAGAAAACGCGAAAGCTTTACAAATCTCCTCAATCGACCAAAATCCTCTCGAAATGTAGGTAACAAGAAGAAACCTTTTGATACAAAGCTTAATTAGCAAAGTGCGTAACACGAGTTCAGGTTCATTTTGTTTTTTTTAATCCTTTGAACAACTGCGCGTTAATTAGACTAATTACCCAATAAACGGGAAATGGGCGCCAGCTGACAGCGAGACGAAATGAAAAAATAGATTCTAAAACAAAATACAAAGCACTACAGCAAATGGGATGGCGACTGCGAAGAAATATATATATATAGAGAGAAAAGAAGAAGAGCAAGTACAGAAGCAAAAGCAAAAGCAAACGCAAAAGAATGCTCCCAAATGAGTCATCAACACAATTCATCATCTTTCTCTCTGACTTGTCTCTGAGGTTCGCCTGTCTGCGAGACCAAGTTTACTCGCTTTATTTATGAGCTTTTTGGCATGGGCGTGGGCGTGGGCGTGGCCGGGGCGTGTCCACAGAAGGCATTAAAATAAACTGTTTATGTTGGAATATTAAGCGCTTGACAGCAGCATCTCAGGAGCCACGCATCTAGCGCAGAGCAAATCACATAAAACACCCGAAAATTGTGACCGAGCTTGTGGCTTAAATTGGCCAAGCGATAGCGCTTGAGTACGATGGGCAGCTTAACAACTTTAGGTGGAGAAAATCAAATAAGGATTATGTAGATTTTGGCAGCACCTCTAGTCATAACTACAAGCTACCTTTATCATAGCTGAAAGGCCAAAGGAAGTCGATTTACTTTCCGTTTGAGTATAACAGAATATAACACCTTCTAACTGGGTTTACTTCTTTATTTAACTCTGTTTTTTGACAATATAACAATATATAAAGCAATATTAGAGCAATATGTGGTAGTATAACAGATAGTATAACAGGTAGTATAACAGATTAAGCAACACAGTACAACAGCTACACATTATGGAGCACAATATGACAGCTTAAACTGATTTGTTCACCACATATTAGAGTATAACAGAATATGACAGTTTACATCGAGCAATATATCAGTCAGTTACAATGCTTAAGACTGTATAATAATATGGTGTGGCCGACAACAAACTGTCCTGAACAATATATAACAGTATAGCGAAATATAACAGTGGAAATTACTTTAGAGCTAACTATGAAATATAACTCGAAAGACAAAGTATAAACCCTTCTTTGTATTGCACAATATAACAGTCATAGCACAGATTAAAAACTTAAAATAACAAATAACATATTTTTCTATTAGGTAAATAATCTAAATTCATTTCACACAAAGCCACTTAATTCACACAATCTAATACCATAAATACCATACTTATATAACAAGTTATAGCTCAAAGCCCCCTCATAGCCACATTATATCACTTGCCAACATAAAGCAACTCAAATTAATGGATTACAAAACTTTCCAACAAAAAGCTATATAATATAATATATAATACGACAATAAATTAACAAATCCCAACATATATAACACATTATAGCACAATATAACAAACTAAGACCATCGAAAAAATAATAAAAAAATATCCTCTATATATATAACACATCATAACACAATCCAACATCTAAGCGCCTTACTGAACTCGCACAAACTTATAATTGCGATCCACAAAAAATTGTCTCTGAAAATTTCCACGGCACGAAACATCAAAGTTGTCTAGCCAACCCAGCCGAAAGAGACCAATGAACTTAAATAATACAGAAAGAAAATGCAAAAAACTTTTAATTAAAATCTATTTATGGAAAATTGACGCAATAGACTACACCTGTATACACACGTACACCTCTATAAGAAAGACTGTGACAACAAATGGAGCGCCTGCTTGGCCGTAACCTCTTACCATATAAGGTTAAGTTAGTTGACTCCGCTTCATTTGCGGCTCACACATGTCGCATGGAAATTTATCAAAATACAGTTAGCAGCGCCGCCGCCAGTGTTGGCTAACGATACAGTTTTTGGCTTGCTTGGGTTGGGTTTTTTTGCTGCGTGCCGACGCCTAATAAACTTGATGCGTCAAGTGAGAAATTATGCTGACTGCTCAAATGTATGCAATAAAAATTTTTCAGCTCACGCACACACTTGATGGCTGCCCGCATGATGGCCGCCATGGTGACGCGAGCTGTGTGAGAAATTGCCATCAGCAGGAGGTGGCGGGCGTTCGGCTGTCGTGGGCGTGGCATATTGTGTTGGCTTATATTTTGTTTTGTTTTGTTACTGTTGCTGCTGGCTAAAAGTTATTAATTTGCTCAGTCGGACTGACTTTATTTCGATGAAGCAACGCGACCATATTGACTAGGCCAGAGAGAGGAAGGGAGAGAGTGGGCGGGAGTGAGTGAGAGAGTAGCAGTAGCTGCAGCGTGTGCAATGCGGCGCACAATTTTCATAGTTAATCTGCTTGGAATTTAATTTGCTGCTGATTGATTACAAGCGATTTGGTGTAATGTCCCCAAAGGACGTAGCTTTGGCTTCGCTCGTTTCGTTTCGTTTCGTTTCGTTTTCCTTTGACTTGACTTGGCCGGACGCTGCTCCAGCTGGTTCTGCTCATTGTTATGGCACTTGTGCGCCATTTGACTTTTAAGCTGCCACGCCCACTGGCCAACGTTCACTGTGCTTGATTGAATGCTTTTTTCGGGCGCCCTGGGCTGGACTGAAATGAAATTTATTTGCTTGTTCAACTCCATTGAATATGTGCAAAATCTTTGTTAGCTTGTTAAGTGCAGCATGATAAGTGCGCCAGCCTGTCTCACTTCCCCCTTCTCTCTCTCTCTCTCACTCAGTTCAAGTTTCGCCCCATCTCTGTCTTTTACTGCCACTCTGTCTGCCTGCATTTCTTGCTGCATTTCGTTTAATGACAACGCTCGAAATTAAATTCCTAACTGCGCTTTTGCTTGGCTGCCTTCACTACCTCTCTCTGTCTCTCTCCCGCTCTCTTTCTCTTGCCCTCTGTTTTTGCTAGCTTTGGCCCCTATTAATTTATTGTCTTGAAATCTAAGGGCATTTATACTTATCTTAAAGTTTGCCAACTTCTTGTCATTCAAGCCCTGCCTTTTATTGAGTTATTTCCTTGGCAAAGAAATGAATTTATCGACGCTGCCAACTGCATTTATCTCACTCTCTCTCTCTCTCCCTAGCTCTGCCTTTCTAGTGATTCAGTTTTTTTGTTTCATATAAATTAGCCAAGAAACTTTAAACTATTCGCATAATTCCAACTATTTCTTGCGCTTGATATAAATGAGCTGTTACATTTGCCAATTCGACATTTGATTAATGTCGGCATTTTAATGCTTCGGGGACCAAAAGTGGTCATAAAACCGGAAATTAGAATACATAAAAGCGGGCACTAAACCTGCCCCAACTGGAAATTCCCATGTTAAACATATACACACACATATACACATATATACTTTTTATGATTCTGTTGTCATCATTGTTGGATAACAATCTCGCACAAGTTGATAAAGCAAACAACATTTTTAATTGCTATTGGTGTGCGCGTGAGCCTCAAGGATTCGAGGTGTGTCCCTTTGCTCTCTCTCTCTCTCTCTCTCTCTCTCTCTTCCACCCTATGCCCTTCTATAAGCATTATCGGCTGCTCTTGTGGCTTGCGCGAATACAAAGCAAATGGTTTCGCCTTTCATCAGTTGGAAATGGGGTTAAGAAAAATATAATTTTAATATATAAAATGCTTAATTGCGGCATCAATAAACCTGACTTAAATTACAAAGTGTTACGAAAAATCGAAAAGCGAGTATTTACACAACTTTATATATAGCATTAAGTACTCATAAATATTTATTTATAGTAGATTGGTAAACTTTAAGACCAACTCAATTCCAATTGGCGCATAGTCAACTTTTGAGTTTAATTTGGCATTCCACTCAAATTCACTGAATTCAATCTTTACAGAGAGATTCGCGGAAAGGATTTTAATTTTTCATTCAGAGCTTCGAGCGAAAAGAGCTTTATTAAATCATTTTTCACCTA